GCAATGAAATATTTCTGGGATACTTCTTGTTGGATGTTTTCAGAGGTCTTTTTCTCCCCTCACAGCATTTCAGACTCTGCTATATGATATTGCTCTAGCGTTCTACAGTTGAGACTGGTGTTTTGTCTTCTTTTGCCATTCTCCCCATTGGGCTTTCCAGCTCAGAGTCCTTCCCATGATACCCAGCCCTGAGACACCACTGCCCAGTATCTAGAGGTGCCATCAGGTTGCATTTTGTGAAATGGAGTACCTAGAGTGAGATGGGAGCATAAGAAATGCTATTTCCACTTCACCACAGGTAGTGGTTTTGTGAGTGATGCTGGAATTTTAACTTTAGAAGAAAAATGAAAATTTTCCAGAGAAATCTTCAATGAGCTGAAATGTCAGTTTTCATTAAAAAACCCTACTCTGATGGAAATTCTTTCACCAGAGCTTGTTCCTGACCACCAACTACACAACAGCCTTCCCTCCTCCCGCCCTCCTCCACTCCCATGGGACATGGCTGCATCCAGACTCCTCCTGCTGCAAGGAGCATCTCCGAGAAGATGTGACTGGTGCGACCCCTTCATCCCTGCCTGGCACAAAGCTGAGGGAGTCCTCTTCTAACTTGTTTTTATCATAAATTCTTGCATGTGGGAGCAATTATCCTTGTTAAATTACAAAAAAAGTCTTTGAGAAAAGAACAATGGTGGATAATTTGGAGGTTTTTCTTCCTTCCCCCCTCATCCCCTACAGCCCGTTTTAAAAAACAGACACAGCAACAATTCACAGCAACGTTTTAGACAGGTTTGTGCATGTATTTGGTACAAACAAACAAAAATATGTGCATTCTGTTTCATTGAGCTTACATCAATCTGACAGAACTTGAATCACAAAACAGAAATACTCTGGCTAATAAATACATCTGGGGATGAAAAATAAAAATCTATACATAAAAATTTCCAATGTCTGCTAAAGAAAATGTACACTTATATACACATTGTAAACAATAGTAATGCAACCCAACTGCAGTCCAGCTCAGGCTGACAGGAACCTTCCTTCCCCCTTAAATAGGACTCGTGAGAGTCTACTGACGTAAAAGCTGCTGTTCACCATCCTGCACGCTCGGTTTGTCGAAGCAGCAAGGGCTGACGATGCAATAGTGACACGAAGCCAGTGCGATGAGGTGAGAGCTGCTGGATAACCAAGGTACGGGTGCTTTGGGAAATGGCCTGCCTGGCAAATCTGGAGAAACGGGACCATACCCTCAGCTGGTCACACCCTTGTGGGTCCAGAGAAGTCAGTGGGATCAGACCAAATTTACCTCCTGAAGCCCATTTTTCCAAACTTGGGAGAGCTTGGAGATCAAGGGAATCAAAGAGAAATGCATAATTATAGACACTCAGGTCATATTTCATACAACATCGTCCTTCCTCCCCTGCCAGCAAAGGCAGCCCTGTCTACTTTAAATGACGCTCTCCGTGTAGAGCCTCAGAGTCCAGTGCTGGCATTGCCTCTTCTGGTGCAAACTGCTAAATGAAATGGGGGACCCTGGCTTAGGTGAGAAACAAGTATTTTGCCTGAATGCAGCACAGCGGAGCTCAAGACTTTCCTACAGCGCTTTCTAGGGTATCTCTCAGGGCCTGATCAAATGCAGGCACAGCTGCAAGGGAGGAAAGTAAATGAGCCAGAGTTCGGGCATTTATGTCTGTGTGTGCATATATGTACTTAAACAGACTTTATCCTCATTTTCTCCCTTGTAGGTCTGTAAAGAATTGGGATGCAGAGGCAGTAAACCCCCAGACTAATCTTTCTTTCTCTTCTGGATGCTTTCAAGGAGCTGGAGGCAGTAAATGTAAATATTTCAAAATTGGAAAAAAAAAGAAAGAAGTGTATTTAAAAGATCAGGGAGAAGTGTAAGCAATAATTTCAACTCATTCTTGAGAATGAACTGCTTGCCAGCAATTGCTAAAAGCCCCTGCAAAGTCTCAATTTATAGGAGAATGTCTGCCATTTTGGAGATGACATTTATATATAGAAATGTAGTAAAGTGTGTACGTGTATCTATCTGTATGATACAAGAGGAAATGGCCTCAAGTTGCACCAGGGGAGGTTTAGATTGGATATTAGGAAAAATGTCTTCACCAAAAGGGTTGTCAAGCACTGGAACAGGCTGCCCAGGGAAGTGGTGGAGTCACCATCCCTGGAGGTATTTAAAAGACGTGTAGATGTGGTGCTTAGGGACATGGTTTAGTGGTGGACTTGGCAGTGCTAGGTTAATGGTTGGACTTGATTTTAAAGGTCTTTTTCAACCTAGATGATTCTATGATTCTATGATTCTACGGTCATGGATTCACATGTTACCATGTGCTATGAGTGTCTGGCTGTGGAGAGACACCAGAAAAATCTGCTTCTGAGCATCACAGAGCATTTAACGGCAAATGTCCATCTTCCCCCTTGACTAGACTTTCACTTCTGATGATATGTGTATCAGCTCATCCTAAACTGTGCCCCCAAATTGCTTACATTATGCACTTGCATGTATTAGATCTGCAAAACAGTGTCACCAGGGGCCAAAAATGCAGGTCTGGGTGCATTTACTCCCTCCAACAGTGGCATGTGTGCACATGCATCCCAAGAGGTGGGTGGAAGGCGGCAGGAGTAATGCTTTCACCTTGACCTTCCAGGCATCCTGCTCCTCAGTGACTGCCTTCTCCCTGATGCCTTCTCTGCTACCTCTCCAGTGCCAGCAGTGTGCTCTCCTATCAGGATCCCAAAAACACCCAGGAAACCAGTGGCAGCTGCAGTCCTTACACTGCAAGATGACTTTCTGTGTCACCTCATCATCACTGTAGGGTCTTACTTCCCTTGAAGGCCAAAGAAACAGGGAAAAAGAAGATGCATTTCCCCAGAGAGGTTCCCACGGGGTTTTGGGCCTTTGCTTTAGTAGGGTTGAACCTCTCAAGCTGGCAACTTCTGGCTGATTTTGCAGACGCTGGCAAACATGCAGGCAGTAATGAGTCTGGGTTCAGTGTAAGTGTGATGCTGCCCATGTGCCTTGGTGGGACTTGCTGCTGGGAGGAAAATATTTGGACAAAATCTGCAGGTTTTTGTGCAGTAGTTTGTCCAGTTCGGGGTCTTGCATTGAGTAAAGGGCAGAAGGGTGTCAAGGGTGTTGAGACAGGGCCAACTCCAAATATCATGTCCCAGTATGCACTGTACAAAAAAGTAAAAAATAAAAAAAGTCCAACTTTTCCTCTGTTTCGATTTCCCTTAAAGCAAAGGTACAGCAGAAAGAAAGGTGACATTCTCTTTGCTACGCCTAGGAGCTTTCCATCTCCTTCGATAGCCACCCTTAAGGGGATTAGCTAGATGTGCTGTAGGCACATTCATGAAAGACTCCTCATGGGTTTGGGAGACAGTGCTGATGTGCATGAGTTTGCATCCAGGACACGTTCAGTGTCTTGTCTCCACCCCTTGACTTCATGTTCCTGTTCTTTACTCACCTGGCTTCAGACACTGCACCTCAGATCCAGACTTTGCCTCCATCCCCTACGTGTCTCGTGCCTCTGCCCACAGCTTAATCTAATGATGTCTCTTTGTGGCTCATTGCCTGTCTGAAATTAGACAAAACCAGTGCCTGAAATACATGGCCAAGCAGAGTTTGGGCGACCATTTTTCTGAGTTGCAAAGCACAAGGTGTGTAAGCCTGGCTGAGGTGGGCCTGGCATGGCTCCAACCTCCCTGCGGTCCTCAGAGGAGGCCATGGTGCCCTCCTGAGGGGAGCTCACACTCTGGGGCTGTGAGAAGAGCAAAAAAACCCTTTATCGACATTGCTTTACCATGCCAGCGGACATAAACAAGGGCAATTGTTGATAGCCACCAAAGGCTTTGATGTATCAGGCATGTGGGAAACCACTTGGGAGAAAAGTCATGAGCATGACCCTGACTGGGGAGAAGATGCATCTACACGAGGGAGCTCCACCTGCACATCAGCTCCGTTTTAGCTTTGACTCTACGGGTAGTAGAAACGGGCCCAACTCAACCATCCCACCTTTCCTGAGCCACAGCGCAGGTTGTGTGTGGACCTGAGCAAAGCCCCTAGGATACATCTTTATTACGTGTTGTTTGAGAGAGACAGCAAGTAAGAAAGAGCAAAAAGGGGAGAGAAAAAGGCTGGGGATGGCTGATACCAAAAGGAGTTGCTTTCTCTCCGTATCACAGAGGTACGTGCACTAAGGCAAGGTGGGTTGAAAGTGTTTCACTGGAAAGTGAAATGAGAAATGCATCACAGGTTGGACTTTGAGAAGAGAGACCCGCACACCCATTGGCATCAGCGTACACATCTGGGCTGCTCCTCTGGCCTAAAACCAGGTTACATGGAAGGGGCAAAGCTGTGGTGACTGCAAACATGATGGCTGAGAGCCAGGATCCCCCCCGCCCTGCTTGGGAATACCGCAGTCTGCTTGCTCTCCAAAGCAAAGGCCTTGGCTGGAGGTCCTGCCCAGCCCTGTAGACCTACAAGCTCCCAACCCATTATCTAAAGGACCAGCTGCCAGCTACTGCTCGGCAGTGTCCTTTCCGGGTGCTGTCTCTGGATGGAAACATGACCACATGTACTAAGGCATGTTTTGGGGTTTGATCTTTCCATTAGATTTTGTGGTGGTGTTTTTAAGGCAAAGGAGACATCCTGGTTTCCCTTAATTGCACAGCTTCTTCCAAAGTCAAAGAAAACCATCCAGCAGTGGAAACAGCTCTTGTCTTAAGGCCATATCCACCCCACATCTTTCCCTCCTGCCGTGGCTCATTAAAATGGGATATGCCATTGGCTCTTATCTGAGGAACCCATAATCCCAGAGAAGGGGCTGACCTCCACGTGGGGGATGCTTGTATGACCTTTGGGCAACTGCGTTTTATACCTGATTGCTGCTTCCAGTCTGCCTGACAGACCCACAGGTGGTATCCCTTCACGTATCTGATAGATAACTTGAAAGAAACCATCGACAGCTGTCCCAGTGGCTTCAAATATCTGTTTCCCGCAGCCCACAGCAGTCTGTTAAGTCATAGGTTTGATAGTCGATGGTTTCCGTGAAGTCATGAGGGATCCCGATAGAGACAGACTCCACCTCTGTTTTGTATGTGGCTGTCACCCCCCCTTTGCTGGAGCCACCCCGGATTTTATTAGAAAGGCTGTTCATCTTCTCCTTCAGCTGGGTGGATGCTGGTTTCTGGAAAGGAGTGAGCATTTTCCAGCCCTTGAAGCTGAGTGTTCGCCTCTTACTGGCTCTCTCCTGCAAGGAGGAGTTAAATATGAACGAGCTGTTCAGGGTGTTAATCCTGGGCCTCAGGTCCGTCTCACAGTCTTGCACCGAGCTGTTCATGGAGGCCCCTCGCCAGTGGTGGTCGTAGACGCGCCAGATGGGCCGTCTTCTCCGGTGGCATTGGCACTTGAGCAGCCTGATGAAAGCTCGCTTGAACTCTTTGCTGGAGCACGGGTAGATGATGGGGTTCACGCAGCTGTTGAAGTATCCCAGCCAGAAGATGACCTTGAAGACCATTTCAGAGGGCTTCAGAGATGGGAAGAAAGAACCTTGGAAGAGATTAAAAGAAATATGATTAGAGGAAGGGGAAGAGTATGGCAGCGCAGGGTAGCAAGGGTGGTGGTCAGCCCAGTCTGGAAGAGGCGAGACCTGCAGAAAAGGCTGAAGGTGTGATTCTACTATTAGGTCCTTGGCTAGCAATGCTGTTGCTACCAGAGTGAAGATCTGGCCACTGCAGGACTGCAAGGCATCGACCCTGAAGTGATAATGACGGATAATAAAAAATGTCTTTGGCAGGAGCCTCCTAGCCCTGACTGCAAAAGGGCTCCTAGCAATGGACCCAGCACCCTCAAATGCAGCTGTGAGCCACCACAGCAAGCCCACACAGCTTGGAGGGAGGCTGTTAGTTGTTGCAGGAGCTACACAAGTATGAGGGGTGGTGTGGATGGAGGATTTTTCTCACATCTCTCTCCAGATAACCATCCAGCTAACCCTGCCCACCGAATCCAGCATGCACTGTGTTTTGAAGGGGATCCACTCCAGAGGAGGAAGTCCTGGTGCAGGAACCCATCAGCCCCATGGCCAAACCAGTTTACCTCACTGTGGGTTCTGCCTTCCTGATCTGAATTGATGCAGGAGATTTGCACCCAAGAGGAATCTTCCATACCTGGGGGCCGGGCTGCTTTCTGAGATGCTATAGCAGGGGCTGAGGGCATCATTTTGGGAACAGGTTCAGTAGTGCCTTCCTGGTTTATCAGCACAAGGCAGCCAGGCCCTGTCCCATTCCAGATCAGAGAGAGAAAATTCTTGCTCGGCTGGTTTGCATGGATTAGTTCTTGGTGCCGGCCTCTTCCTATTGAACTGCACAGCTCACCACTGCAACGTAAAAGGATGGATACAGCCCTGTCACCTGCACTGATGGAAAAGCAACACCCCTTCACTTCCTACGCTCACTTGTTTTGGGTCATCAATGTGACACACCCTCTGTTCAAATTTTGCAGTGATGCTAAGGCGGACACTTAAAGTGGGCTCAGATAATATCCACCACCCCAAGATTGTACCTGCTACTTGAAAAACCTCTTTTGTCCACCCCAACCCCTATTTACGCTTTTGTGCTGGAGGTTCCCGGTGTTTTTCTTGCTGAAAAATCTGGAGTTTTTTTTCGCAGCCAGAAGATGTCAGTGTTGCTCCCACATGGCCCCATCACTTAGCATTCCCCACTCAGATCTGAAATAACTTTCTGACTCAGCCTTAATTTCTTTTAATTTTAGCTCTGGATGACAAATCGTGCTGCCATGTGACTGAGCGTTAATTTGTATTTTAGTAAATAACATTAGTCTGGATATCATTATTATTTTCCCTATGCTCAAAAGCCTGGTGTCAAAACAGTAAAACAGGTGCCAGGAGCCAGAAATGCAGGACTGACACTACATAAAAGCTCCCCAAGCTGTTTGCTGGAGAAAAAACATCATCCAGGAAACTCAGAGCACTGGTTCCAGCAAAGCTTTCTTACGTCCCTAAAAAGTGCAGAAATCACAGCCAGACTCAGCATTAGGTACGTGGGCTACTCCACCATGGGGACGTGGGAGAAGAAAGACAGATCCCGGCATTTTCTGGTGGTTAGGCAGGGAAAGCACAGATGCAGCCATGCAGCTTAAATATCTGCCGAAGGCCAACCCGAGTCGTAAGGCCGGAGTACACGCTGTTTGTCAGCCTGTGCTGAAGGAGGCACTGAATAAGGACGGTAAGCAGGACTGACGTCTCTGTGCTGGAAAGACCTGGGGCCTTCATGGAAATGAATGGTATTTGCAGCTCAATGAGCAGCCGCTGGTGCTGTAGCCTGTGGTTTTGAACAGAGGAATAGCACCAGGATTAGGGGTTTTCAGAGGCAGTGCCCCCACCGAGGTTGTTTTTCGTTAAAGGGGTTTATTCCTTCTGGAGCTTGATAGTTTGGCACTAGGCTGCTTGAATCACCACCTCCAAGTCTAACCACAGCAGAAACCCCACCCCCACGTGTTTAGCCAGGAGCTTTTAAATGCCCCAGTGGTGCTGGGGACAACCCCCCTTTGCGTTGCACGCAGCATCTCCTCCGTTCTCCATCCGACCACAGCTTTGAGCCTTCCCGCTTTCTCCCGCTGCCCCCAACCCACCACCCTGGACCTACAGGCACCACCCGATGCTTTGGGCAATGTGGACCAGCGGTGGGTTTCCAAGCCCGGCATCGATTCCTCTCCTCAATCTCAAGTCTTGACCATAGCGGTTGGGTCTACTTTCCTTCCTGGACTCACCCCCTCTCCACCCTGCCCAGGGATCAGCCTCTACCCAGAGCCCTCTTCTCTCTGCAGGGAGATCCCTGGCTCTCAGCCCTAAGACATCGCGTTGTCCTAGCTTGACCCTGCCGTTGCTCAGTGTGAACGTTTGGGGCCAAGACAGGTGAAGGACTTCATTAAGCATGTAATCCTGCTCATACTCTTGGGGAGAGGCTCCGTGCCTCAGTTTCCCCACTGCAGAATGCGGCTAATTACTAGAATCTCTTTCACAGTGTTGTTGTGAACCTCGTTTGCAGTGTGCACTGGGTTCTCAGAGGAGCTGCAGCTTTATGTAGCATTTTTTAACTTTAAGAGAGAGGAAAAGAAAGCAAAAAGCTATGGTAACAAAGCAAATAAAAGAAGGGTCTCTTTAGAAATGAGACTAGTAATTACTGCTTGAGCCAGGCTACTTAAGAGATTGGTGTGTGCTTAAACAGCCTGATGGCTGTTAAAATAACTACTTATATCTAGTGTTTAGTGGTTCATTGCACAACGCACTTTCTGTACTACATGCTTTGTCTTTTGCATCCAGATAAAAAATACAATTTGAAAAGGAAAAAAAGCTATGAATTCCCTGAATTTCAACTTTGGCTCGTTTTCACCCACTAGAACCTTGTGTACATCTGAAGACAAGAGACTCATTACCATCCTCATTACCATGCAAATAAGCGTGCCCCTTGGAAGAAACGTGTACTGAGTGCATCCATAGTTTCCTCATTTGATCACACTGGGATGAACAGAACTACGCAGGGGGTCCCCAGAAATAGGTCCTTGGCTGGTAACTTTGTACATGCTGGAGCATCAGACTCTCTTGATAGGCACTGGGAGGCTGCACGTAAGGAAGAGTTGCAGGCTCTTATTTAGGGAATGAGTAAAGTGTGGAAGAAATTAGCTCTTGCTTTCATGCACACAAATCTGCAATAACATTTTGAGAGAGGGAGGGTTTTTGAACCGGGCTTTGTAGTGGTTACTATATAGAAGCATGGATGTTAGGATGCATGGAAGACAGTATGGAGTAATGGACACTTGAAGAGCTCAGGAAACACAGTCGGATGCTCCAAGGTCCAGAAATAGAAAATGGGAGTAAAAGATCAGGTATAGGAACACAGAGTGATGCACCAGCACTTTAGCCTGATATCTCAGTGTAAGAGCACTTTTTGATGATCTGGCCCCAAAAGCATCAAAGCCAGAACAGGGCAATATCAAAGAACAGGAAACCCAAATATTGTAGGACCTGTGTCACAGTACAAGTTTGTGAAACCTGGTCTTGTTTCAAAGAGAAGCTCTTCCTACTCACTCAAAATCAGTCCTCTGGGCACCTTTCTTGGGCATCCAGCTCAACAGTTCATGGCAAAGCTTGGTGTACTTTCCAAAGGAGGAGGTGCTGACACCCACCTTGGGGACATCCACCCGTGGGGTGGTCTCGGTGTGGTGAGCAGTGACACTCTGTGCAGTACATGTGCTGGGATCCAGCAGCCCCCTGTCGTGCTGGAGCATCTGGGACCCCAGAGCCCTCACAGGGAGAGGACAACGGAGACTTGGCTTGCCCTTGCTCTTCTTGAACAGGACTGCTGCTTTTGTGGGTAGTGCTCTCAGCAGGGAAGTCTACATCCAACCTAACCAATCCACACGTGAAACACAGAGACAGCCTGGGGAGTAGGGACAGACGTCTGAGGTGCCCCTTCTCCACCCTGACTGCCTGCCCAGTGATGCTCCCTCTCCTGGTGGATGGAGACTCCACCCTGACTGCCTGCCCAGTGATGCTTGCTTTCCTGGTGGATGGAGGATCCTGGTTGTATTTCAGTGTAGGATGCTCCCAGGTAGGGTGGGATGCAAAGCCTTGTCCATATTTCCCACTGCCTTGTTGAGAAAGCTCCATGTTGGCTTATGGAGATCCTGCTGAGGACTTTGTCTTCTCCTAATAAATAAAAATTTTATAATAATATTGCTGGGGGGGCTTGAAAGTCCTTTTGGGGCTTTATTCCTTTCAGCATTTTAGAAAAGGTCATTCCACATCTTGCAGAGTTTGAATCCTAATGATAGAGCTGAGTCTGAGCAAGGACTTCAGGTCCTGTTGTAACCCTAGATAATTATCTTCAGGATCATTAAGAAATCAAGAAAGCTGCAGGTGAGCTCAGGGAAAGTTACCCCCACTGTGCAAAGTGACTGGACTCAATCTAAACATGATCTGAAGATTGAATTTCATTTTTTTTGGTGGTGCAAAAGTTAAGCCAATAAGGTATGTGCTCTGAAGTGAAAACAAAAAAGTAATTTATCTGGTGTTCTTACAGTGTATATGTGTGTATAGGATGTGTATATGTGTTTCTATGCTGTGTGCACCTACACATTTTTTCCCCCTAGGTAAAGTCACGCTGCTCATATCTGGGAAAAAAACCCCAGCCAGCTACAAATCTCTGAAGCCATGGACATGCTCCCAAAGCTGTGACACCCTGTGTTGGGTGGCTGGTGGATGCGATCTCCCCTCCACACGTCCAAACACATATCCCTTTTTTTTAGGTTGTTTGAGCGAGCACAATCTCATGATCTTTCCTTGTCTGCACTTCTCCACCCTGCCCTCCCCATGACTCACTCGAAGGTGATATCACTGGATTATTTGGAGAGTTGCTGGTCCCAGTGTTCAGCGCTCAAAAAAATAAAGCAAAACAAAAAAAAAAGACAAATGCACAAACGAAAATGGACCCAGTCCAATCTAAATGCTGGCCCCGGCTCCCAGTATGCAG